TAGGTTAGGTTAATCTTTGCCAAGGTTAGGTTAGGTTAATCTTTGCCAGGTTGGGATTAATCTTTGCCAAAGGTTAGGTTAGGTTAATCTTTGCCAAGGTTAGGTTAGGTTAATCTTTGCTGAGGTTAGGTTAGGTTAATCTTTGCCAGGTTAGGTTGGTTAATCTTTGCCAAGGTTGAGTTAGGTTTCTGTTAGGTTGGTTAATCTTTGCCAGAGTTAGGTTAATCTTTGCCAAGGTTAGGTTAGGTTAGGTTAATCTTTGCCAAGGTTAGGTTAGGTTAATCTTTGCCAGTTAGTTAATCTTTGCCAAGGTTAGTGTTCTTTGCCAAGGTTAGGTTGGGTTAATCTTTGCCAAGGTTAGGTTAGGTTAATCTTTGCCAAGGTTAGGTTAGGTTAATCTTTGCCAAGGTTAGGTTAAGCTTTGCCAAGGTTAGGTTAAGCTTTGCCAAGGTTAGGTTAGGTTAGGTTAATCTTTGCCAAGGTTAGGTTAATCTTACCTTGAGCATATTAGCTAGGTTTTTGAGGTGGATTCACATACATACAGACGTTGGGTCAGCTTAAGTTACATTGGGTTGGTTAGGTTGGATTACATTGGGTTTGGTTAGGTTAGGTTAGCAGTAAATCGTCGGAATATGGCATAGAAACGGGACAGTCTTCAGCACCACGACGCTGGGCAATCTCATCTGCTCTGGATGACGTCACTAACTCGGGAACACTTCTAAGTATTTACACTTGAAGACTAACTAACACAAACGACAGTCATATTTCACCCTGTCGAGATGATTTAACACAAGATAATGACCCTTACCTTAAACGCTCGACGAAGCTCTCGTTATAACAAGCTGATGGTGACAGATTGTGTCTGGTGAAATTTGGCGCGTCCGGGAAATGTTATCTGGAAATTTGGCGCGCGGGGAATTCTTACGGTAAAATTTGGCCACGTGGAGTTCTGGGGGCAGGTGTGGTCTTGTTCATTTCTATTTTATTACAATACGTGATATACCCTGTACAGTATTATTAGAGAATGTTATGTTTTTGTGAGACGAAGATCAGGGGATAACTATCGTATTATAATTGCCTTCTCTGGTTGTCCTTACTATTAAATAATTTTGTTCAAGGAAAATGTGAACCAAATGTATATTCAACTCCTAATAATTATTTTAAGCTGTATTTACGCAGTACTGCATTTGTGATACATATCCTCACGGGGTTACTTATCTCCGGTATTTATCTCACGGTACTTATATCATGGGGTATTTATCTTACGTTGTACTTATATCATGGGGTATTTATCTCACGCTGTACTTATATCACGGTGTTATCTCACGCGTTACTTATATCATGGGTATTTATCTCACGCTGTACTTATATCATGGGGTATTTATCTCATGTACTTATATCATGGGTGTTATCTCACGCAGTACTTATATCATGGGGTATTTATCTCACGCAGTACTTATATCATGGGGTATTTATCTCACGCTGTACTTTATCATGGGGTATTTATCTCACGCTGTACTTATATCACGGGGTATTTATCTCACGCGGTACTTATATCATGGGGTATTTATCTCAGGCGGTACATATATCATGGGATTATTTATCTCACGCAGTACTTATATCATGGGGTATTTATCTCACGCGGTACTTATATCATGGGGTATTTATCTCACGCGGTACTTATATCATGGGGTTATTTATCTCGCTGTACTTATATCACGGGTATTTATCTTACGCAGTACTTATATCATGGGGTATTTATCTCACGCTGTACTTATATCATGGGTGTTATCTCACGCGGTACTTATATCATGGGGTATTTATCTCACGCGGTACTTATATCATGGGATTATTTATCTCACGCCAGTACTTATATCATGGGGTATTTATCTCACGCAGTACTTATATCACGGGGTTATTTATCTCACGCGGTACTTATATCATGGGGTATTTATCTCAGGCGGTACATATATCATGGGGTTATTTATCTCACGCAGTACTTATATCATGGGGTATTTATCTCACGCGGTACTTATATCATGGGGTATTTATCACGCGGTACTTATATCATGGGATTATTTATCTCACGCTGTACTTATATCATGGGGTATTTATCTCACGCGGTACTTATATCATGGGGTATTTATCTCACGCGGTACTTATATCATGGAGGTATTTATCTCACGCTGTACTTATATCACGGGGTATTTATCTTACGCAATTATATATCATGGGGTATTTATCTCACGCTGTACTTATATCATGGGGTATTTATCTCGCGGTACTTATATCATGGGTATTTATCTCACGCGGTACTTATATCATGGGGTATTTATCTCACGCAGTACTTATATCATGGGGTATTTATCTCACGCAGTACTTATATCACGGGGTATTTATCTCACGCGGTACTTATATCATGGGGTATTTATCTCAGGCGGTACATATATCATGGGGTATTTATCTCACGCAGTACTTATATCATGGGATTATTTATCTCACGCAGTACTTATATCATGGGGTATTTATCTCACGCGGTACTTATATCATGGGGTATTTATCTCAGGTACATATATCATGGGGTATTATCTCACGCTGTACATATATCATGGGGTATTTATCTCACGCGGTACTTCTATCACGGGGTATTTATCTCACGCAGTATATATCATGGGGTATTTATCTCAGGCGTACTTATATCATGGGGTATTTATCCACAGTACTTATATCATGGGGTATTTATCTCACGCTGTACTTATATCATGGGGTATTTATCTCACGCAGTACTTATATCACGGGGTATTTATCTCACGCGCATCTTATATCACGGTATTTATCTCACGCTGTACACTATATCATGGGGTATTTATCTCGCTGTACTTATATCATGGGGTATTTATCTCACGCAGTACTTATATCACGGGGTATTTATCTCACAGGTATATATCACGGGGTATTTATCTCACGCTGTACATATATCATGGGGTATTTATCTCAGCGGTACTTATATTATGGGTGTTATCTCGCTGTACTTATATCACGGGGTATTTATCTCACGCGGTACTTATATCACGGGGTATTTATCTCACGCGGTATACCATCACGGGTATTTATCTCACGCTGTACATATATCATGGGGTATTTATCTCACGGTACATATATCATGGGTATTTATCTCACGCGGTACTTATATCACGGGGTATTTATCTCACGCTGTACATTATATCACGGGGTATTTATCTCACGCGAGTACTTATATCACGGGGTATTTATCTCACGCTGTACATATATCATGGGTATTTATCTCAACGGTACATATATCATGGGGTATTTATCTCACGGTACTTATATTATGGGGTATTTATCTCACGCTGTACTTATATCATGGGGTATTTATCTCACGCGGTACTTATTATATCACGGGTATTTATCTCACGCAGTACTTATATCATGGGTGTTATCTCACGCAGTACTTATATCACGGGGTATTTATCTCACCGGTACTTATATCATGGGATATTTATCTCACGCTGTACTTATATCATGGGATTTATCTCACGCAGTACTTATATCACGGGGTATTTATCTCACGCAGATATATCACGGGTATTTATTCACTGTAACTTATATCATGGGGTATTATCTCACGCAGTACTTATATCATGGGTTATTTATGTCAGGCGGTACTTATATCATGGGGTATTTATCTCGCTGTACTTATATCATGGGGGTATTTATCTCACGCAGTACTTATATCATGGGTGTTATGTCTGGCGGTACTTATATCATGGGATATTTATCTCACGTTACTTATATCATGGGGGTATTTATCTCACGCAGTACTTATATCATGGGGTATTTATCTCAGGCGGTACTTATCATGGGATTTATCTCACGCTGTACTTATCATGGGTATTTATCTCACGCTGTACTTATATCACGGGGTATTTATCTCACTGGTACTTACATCATGGGGCATTTATCCCACGCCGTGTACTCTATATATCACGGGTATTTATCCAGCGCAGCAATTTATATCATAGTATTTATCTCGTCACGTACTTATATCACGGGGTATTTATCTCACGCAGTACTTATATCACGGGGTATTTATCTCACGCAGTACTTATATCACGGGGTATTTATCTCACGCTGTACTTATATCACGGGGTATTTATCTCACGCTGTACTTATATCACGGGGTATTTATCTCACGCTGTACTTATATCACGGGGTATTTATCTCACGCTGTACTTATATCATGGGGTATTTATCTCACGCAGTACTTATATCATGGGGTATTTATCTCACGCAGTACTTATATCATGGGGTATTTATCTCACGCGGTACTTATATCATGGGGTATTTATCTCACGGTTCACTTATTGCACTCTACCAAGCGAGAATCTGGCTGTAGCGGCACTCTCACAACTGGCGGGAAATCTGACGCGTGAGGGAATTGGCTATGGCGGGAACCAGGGATTGGCGGGAACTTTACCGTGAGAGCGGAAATTTTGGCGCAGAGATGGACGTAGGAGTAGGAAGTATCTTGGAAGTGGAGGAAATTTGGAGATGCTAGCTGATATAATTTGGCTTGGCGGGGTATATGGAGTTGGAGTCAATTTGGCGTATTTTGAGGAAGCTTACGAGTTGGCGATAATTTCGGAAAATGTCGATGGCACAGGGTTTTGTGAATGATAATGTGGAGTAGTCGTTAGGTGTTGGTAACTGACTAGATATAGATGAGGACGCTTGTGTACCGCCTTCCTGTCATGTTCTATAATTAGTATTCAGCGCTGTGAAGTGATAGTGGTGTAGTTATGTTTTTATATCTAATCTGCTTTACTATTTTTGTTTATTTATATTTTACTTCATTTTGTACTTTTGATAAGGACAATCTCGCTGTTAGGATATTCATTATTTCCCTGTTACGGCAGCGTGGTGGGGTGACCCGATCTTCAGCTCACACTTACTACGCACGTGTTAAAATGTTCTCTTCCTTAACTTCCCGGGGATAGATCAAAGATTCCCTGGCGTGGGCGGGAGTTTGGCGGGTCTGAGATTCCCTGGCGTGGGCGGGAGTATGGCGGGTCTGAGATTCCCTGGCGTGGGCTGGAGTATGGCGGGTCTGAGATCTTCGGCGTGGGCTGGAGCATGGCGGGTCTGAGATTCTCTGGCGTGGGCGGGAGTTTGGCGGGTCTGGAGATTTGGGCGGGAGTTTGCGGGTCTGAGATCTTCTGGCGGGCTGGAGTTTGGCGGGTCTGAGATTCTGGCGTGGGCTGGAGTATGGCGGGTCTGAGATTCTGGCGGGCTGGAGTATGGCGGGTCTGAGATCTTCTGGCGTGGGCGGGAGTTTGGCGGGTCTGAGATTCCCAGTGGCCGGGGAGTTTAGCGGGTAACCCAATCATCTTCCATCGTGACGTTGTTGACTTTCCTTCTCCTGAGGCGGACTTCCTGGATCTTCCAGTTCCTGAACAAACAAGATCTTTAAAAAGCAATGGTCGTCTCGCTGGAAGTCGTGATGTTAAGTTGTCGGAGATAAAAGAAATTGTACATACAAGCTGATTTAACTGAGGGCAAAAGCGCGCGAAGTCTCATAGTTCCCGCGCAAACTACTGGAACCTTTGTTGATGTTTTTGCTGTAGGTATTTTAACTACTAATTATGTATGGACGAGGGTTTAACTTTGACCAGGTGAGGATGATACTTAAACCATGAACCCAGTAGCGTTAAACACCCAACATTTAATAAACCAAGGTAATGCAGAGCTCCACCGCGACGGCTAGTTAAATTTGGCTGAAGGCTAGTTTAAGAAGCAGTATACAGTACATATTAACTTGCCGAGGCTGACTCACATACCCTGTGTTTTAGATAATATTTTATCTATGTTTATATGAAGTGTAATTTATTTTGTTTGAAGGAAATATTGAACTTAAAGTTTGATTTGACGCCATTGTGTTTACCGCGGTAAATAGGTAGATGACGTCACCTTTACCTCGGCGTATTGTGGGAAGAGTGACGTCACCTTGTTTACCTCGGTGCATTGTGGGAGATGACGTCACCTTTATCTCGGCGTATTGTGGGATGAGTGACGTCACCTTGTTTACCTCTGTTCATTGTGGGAGATGACGTCACCTTTACCTCGGCGTATTGTAGGAAGAGTGACGTCATCTTGTTTACCTCTGTGCATTGTGGGAGATGACGTCACCTTTACCTCGGCGTATTGTAGGAAGAGTGACGTCATCTTGTTTACCTCTGTGCATTGTGGGAGATGACGTCACCTTTACCTCGGCGTATTGTGGGATGAGTGACGTCATCTTGTTTACCTCTGTGCATTGTGGGAGATGACGTCACCTTTACCTCGGCGTATTGTGGGATGAGTGACGTCACCTTGTTTACCTCGGTGCATTGTGGGACTTAAAAGAATTCATCGGAATGAGTTCATCTTTCTTTCACTGCTGGTAACTAAGTGGACACCTTTACCCATAAGTAATCCATCTCTCCTCTCTCTCTCTCTCTCTCTCTCTCTCTCTCTCTCCTTCACACACACACACACACTCACATACACACACTGCTGCCATTTAGCGCTACAACATGTCGTAAGGGCCAGTCGTTCCCCCCAGTCAGGTATTTTCATGAAGCTCAGTGTACCATAAAGGTTAAAGCATCTCATGAAGCTTAAAGCGTCTCATGAAGCTTAGTGTCATATGACGTTTACTGTCCCATAAAGCTTAAATTGTATACCAATCCTATAAAGTTTTAAGTATCTTTCCATGAAGCTTAATGTCTCATGAAGCTTAAAGTGTCTCATGAAGCTTTATCTCCCTTGAGGCTTAGTGTCCGCCACGAAATTCACAATGTCGCATGAAGTGATTTAATTTATTTATTTATTATCATAGAGAGAGAGAGAGAGAGAGAGAGAGAGAGAGAGAGAGAGAGAGAGAGAGAGAGCTTATTTGGCATTGAAACATTGATATCCTGAGAACTGTCGTCTCTCTCGCTCTCCCGCCCACCTTCTCCCGCCCTCCCTAGTTATATTACCAGTCTTTCTCTTCATTACTGCCACCGGTAGTGACACCATACACAGTAATCATGAAAACTCGAGGAATATACGATTTTTTAGAACACTTTCTGTGAACTGGTTTATCATCTCACACGTTCTGCCTCTAACGCACAGTATGCCCCATCATGTCATTATATACACCGGTAGTGAGACAAAATACCCACCAATCTTGAGAAGTCGGGAAATATAAACTTTTTTTTTTTTATAGAAGCGTTACGGGGAATTGTCACGATGCGAGACAATATTTGGCGGGGACGGAAAGCCAACACTATTTTTTGGCGGGAGGGAAAACCGTCACGTCATGGAGGGAAGGCGAGTTATATAACGAGAGGATGTTGTAAATCAGGAGTCAAGGGGGAGTAGGTATGCTTGTAGGGCCAGCCATCTCGGGCAGTCGTCGCCAGCTGAGCTAACAACAATAACAGTGGTCGTTTGGTGAGAAAACATCGACTTCCTTAACGTCACTGATGATGAACCGTCGACTTCCAAATTAATTACTTGTAGAGAATAACGAATAATTTTAATGTTTATTGTGTATATTTTAGAATGATAAAACTTCGACTTCCTTTTTGTTTATTGTAGTTTATCACAGGAAATTTGATATGAGAATTAAAACAGTATGTTGCATTTTTTATATTTTGTAAGTGACTCGTGTGGTTCACCAGGGCGGGCAAGACGGCGTCAAAATTGCACTGATACTTTATTGTACTTGCATGCCTTAAACCTTATAACCAATTTCCGGATTAGAAAATGACTCGTCTTAACAGGACCTTGTGAGATACTTATGTTAATTTATGATCTATGTCTCTTTCTCCTTCATATTCCCATTTATCTATCTCTTATGTATCTATTTATTTACCTGTATACACTCACACACACACACA